TTGTGTGTGTATGCTGCTAGTTCGTTTCCTTTGCATTGGTTTTCCGATCCAGGTTGCTATGTTTCATATATAGTATTGAAATTGCCTCTAATGAAGTATCCTGGAGATGGTTGTAGTTCAATGATGTATGTTAGCATCTGTTCTATTCGTGGTTGTCTGTACACATTCAATATAGGGTGTCCATTCATGTCTATCCAGAGTATATCGCGGCTTTTGATTGGCTGTTTTTGTTGGGTTCGCAGTTTCGCTCCTTTCCTGATGTACGTCAGTACTCGGGGTCTTTCTGCCTCTCTTTATTCGGGGGATATTCCTGTCCATGAGTCTACTGGTGTATATAGGGTCCATCCAGGGTATGTTTTGGTTTTTGTAAATAGGAACGTGGATGGTTCCTGTATGTACAAGATATCTGTTTTGTCTTCAAATACCATTTGTAGTATAGTGTTGTGGGCCTCTGGTATTCTGCCTATGTTCGCCCAGCAAACTGTTAGGTCCCGTATCCTGGGCTGTTGATGACTACGCATGTCACCCTGACACGTTGAGTATCTACTCATGTGTATTGGGTTGGGGGCCCTCCTCTATTTCGATATTCTGCTGGCTACCAGTTAGGGCCTCCTCGTTGAGTCTTGATTTCAGCGAGGGTTTTCGTTCCATTCAACTTATTGCTACTGCGCTTCTATAGAGCTGTGTTTTCATTACACTGTTTCCGAGGTTTTCATAGGCAGCGATCCATCCTCCCCGGTGTTTGGGTGTTGATATGGGGGTGGGTGTGGGAGTGGGTGTATCTGGTGCAGGTTCCTCCTTGGGGTTGTCCTTGGGCTTCTGGTTGACAAGTATTGCTATTTCTAGAGCCAGAGCTAGTTTTCGTATAGCCTTAAGTTGTGGCTTGGTGGGCGCTGTGACCTTGCTATCCATTATCTTAGGTGTTGCTGGGCAATTCTGGTGTCCTGCCGCGAAGGGTCCAAAGCAATTAGTACATTATGCTTTTGCTATACAGTTGGATCCTTGCGGACCCTTGTGTGCATCTTTTCGTATACTGCAGTTTGTGTAACGGGTGAGCCTGGTGTATCTTGCTAAATTGCACCAGCCCTGGTATCCGGTGTTGTGTCAGATTATCGTAGGTTTTGCCTTGATCTCTTGTACTAGTTCGCTAACGTTAAAAAACCTGAACCCGTGGACTGGTTCTAGGAAGGATACTACCCATGTAATTGTGCCGTTATGGGGGTTGGCCCCGTAGTGTGAGGGTCTGCAGCTTACTAGGGTTTGGCCTGTCTATACTTGAACCTCTGCTTCCACATGATTCGCCGTGTCGGCTGGGAGTCCTGCTATCATACAGATCGATGCTGGGACCCCAGCAAAAATAGATTATATTACAACTATTTACTAGAATAAGATTATAATACAAAGTAGGTTCGCTACGCCTACAAACGCTTTCCCGGCTCACTATGATAAAGCCACTAGTACTAGACTTTTGTAGAATCTTCTGACTATATATAAACCATCTCCCATATGAATACCTTCGGAGGCTCCGGCCCACACCAAACCTTTGCTTTACGTTTCTACCTCTGTTTGCTCCTTAAGCCTACCCAGTATCTCCTTTGCTAATTGCCTAATACCCTATTGTAAACCGACACGCGTATCCGTCCTCTCGAGCTATACAGACAGTATCACTATCGCTGCTATTGTATATTACGCCCCGCAGTACATGAATACTGTTTCGCGTTATCTTGCCAGATCTCTCCTCTTCACAAGGCCGACCATATCTCGCAGACTTGCTGCGTTCACACCCTTAACCAAACAACGTAATCGCAGTGTTTCCAACCCACTAACCAAAACGTCCTCGTATCCTTTTCCTCCCAATGTATAGTTTGTAGTTGTATAAAATAATCGAAGCGGAAACTTAAAATTTATCGGATTGGAATCGGAAAGGAGTCGTAATCCCGTATATCGTCGTTGGGCCCGTCTCTACGGGGCGCTTCTCTGAAATGAAATCATAGGAAAGCCTTTGGCATAACCATATATTGTACAACAATCATTTAATTGTAGTATCACTGAAAGGTAGTTATGATCAAAGGGGGATAAAGTAATAATTTGTCTAAACACTGAGGGTAGGTATAACTTTGAAGGGGTAAAACATGACGATTGATCTAAACTACTGGAAGAGGGGGTATAAGTACCCTCTCTAGACTATCACGTGACTCTAATACTATTGATTGGTTTCCTCACAATATGTATCAGCATAAGTGATAATTTGTTTTGTTAAAGATAAGAGACTTATAGAGATCTATTTTAAAAGTTAAATAAAACCCAATCGGATTAGTTCTGGGTTATTTACTTTCTTGTATTAGCCTTTCTAAATATTGCAATATCTATAATTAAACAAATTCTCCTCTATTTTA